GCCTCTGTACCTCTGCACTTTACTTCCGCACCTCCTCTGAGTCTCAGTGTGCTTTTCTCTTTCCTTCTAGTTGTAGAATTTCCACTCAGCCAGCCTTCCTGTGGTTCTGGGTGATGTCCGTTTTGTCTTTTAGTTGTATTTTTGAAGTGGTTGTGCGAGGCAGCAATTTCCGGTGTTTACCTATGCCGCCATCTTGGTTTCTCCCCTAAGATTTTGATATGATTACTTTTGACTGAAAGCTGTTTTTATCTTAAAGCATCCATCCAACTCTTCCTTGTTATGGGACTCCAGTGTGGGTATTTTACCATTTATTCATCTTCACTCTACTTGTATAATCTTGTTTTAGATGTATCTTTTAAAGCAGGGGTCCTCAAACTACGGCCCGCGGGCCACATGCAAATACAAATATTGTATTTGTTCCCGTTTTGTTTTTTTACTTCAAAATAAGATATGTGCAGTGTGCATAGGAATTTGTTCATAGTTTTTTTTTAAACTATAGTCCGGCCCTCCAGCGGTCTCAGGGACCGTGAACTGGCCCCCTGTTTAAAAAGTTTGAGGACCCCTGTTTTAGAGTAAGCATATAATTGAATTCCCTCTTCAATCTGAAAGAGAAATGTGACCTGTTTGTGATTACTGACATGTTTGCATTCATTCCCATCATTTAAATTTTTGTGTTTATCATATTTTTATTATTTCTTTATTTTTGAACTGATTTTTTCCTACTTATTTGAAGATCATATGTTCATTTTTCTTCTTCTGGATGGTTTAATGCATTTAAGCCATTACTTCTTCATTGTTTAAAATTAATGAGAATTCATATCTTCCTTTCCCTAAAAAGATAGAACTGCTGCTTGCTTTCACTTCACTCTGTTTCTCTTCCCTCTTCTACTTCCTGTGTTGAAATCATGTAAGTATTTTAGTTCCAGATTACTTATTTTTCTAAAAGTTAGCATGTATTGCTTCTTATTTTATTGATTTCAGAGAGGAAAGGAGAGGGAGAGAGAGAAACATTAACGATGAGAGAGAATCATTGATCAGCTGCCTCCTGAATGCCTCCTACTGGGGTTGGAGCCTGCAACCTGGGCATGTGCCCTGACCAGGAATTGAACTGTGATCAATGTTCACCCATTGAGCCAAGCTGGCTGGGCTTTATTGCTTCTTTTGCTTATCATTGCACTTTATAGGTCATAGATGCTTTTAAGATGATATTGGAGTGTATTTTCCTAATAATTTCAGAAAAGGTCTTAGGGTAGCAAATGTTGAGCTCCTTTATGTGTGAAAGTGTGTTTTGCACTGCCACTTGAAAGCTGATTTGTCTGGATATGAGTTCCAAAATCTTTTTCCTTATCACTTTGAAGCTATTGCTCCATTGTCTTCTAGCATCTGTGTTTCTGATGAAGTCTAATTTCACCCTTATGTGATTTATGTATCTTTGTAGGTATTCACTTTCTTTCCTTTGGAAATTTTTAGGATTTTCTGAAATTTTAGTACGTGTCTAAGTCTCTCCTTTCTCCACTAATTGATTCTGTTTAACACTTAGTGGATCTTTCAACCTCATGATTAGTGTCCTATCTTCCCCTGAAAATTTCTAGAAATCATATAAAATAGGTGTTGGACTCTGGTTCTATATTCTGTATATCTATCTTACCTTCATACTTAAGAGGCATTTTGGAAGAATTTCTGTTTGCCTATTTTGTTGCTGAATGTACTTGTTCAGCTTTATTTTGGAAATCAATTTTTCTTCTTTTTTGTAAACATGTCTTTATTGAGGTATTATAATCTACTTAAAGTAAACTACACTCATTACAAGTGTACAGTTCCATGCATTTTGACAGATATATACACCCATGAAGCTGCCTCCTGCACATCCCGTGCTGGGGATCGAGCCTGCAACCTGGGCATGTGCCCTAACCGGGAATGGAACTGTGACCTGGTTCATGGGTTAGTGCTCAACTACTGAGCCATGCTGGCCAGGCAATTTGTCATTTTTTTAAATGGTGTCTTATTCAGTTTTCATGGATGAGATCTCATTTACCATGGTGATATTTATGATTCTTAAGTCTCCTGTTTATTCTTGCAACTCTTTCTTCAGCTGTTTAGCTTCTTGTTATTTGTGGTGTTGACTTCCCTTTTGGTGATTCTAGTTTGTAAAGTGTTTTCTCTGGTGTGAGGATTGCTGTTTTCCTGTCAGAGGATGCAGTGTCTGTTTACCACTCTGTCAGATTGGACTGTAGGGGAGAGATGGGTCATATGGCCAGAATTGGACACCTGTTTTTTCTGGGTAATAGCAGCTACTTGGATGCTGTCCTAAATCTTGGGCTCAAGTGCCTGTGCTCATCGCCTCTGTTGGCTGGAAGAAGGGGGAGAAGGGTAGTGGTTCTCAGTAGAGGGAAGTAGAGAGCCTGTCCAGTTGTGCCACATTTCCCCACCAGGTCACGCATGACTGCACCAGAGCTCCTGTTTTCCCATGACAGTCACCCCATCTATAGCTTGGGGTAACACCACATGCTCTCCACACCTTCATAGCTGCTGCCAATTATTATAGCATTCCTCTGTTTTTAAAAAATATGTATTTCAGTTGATTTTAGAGAGAAAGGAAGGGGGAGGGAGAGAGAGATAGAAATATCAATATCAACATCGATTGGCTGCCTCTTGCATGTCCCCTGCTGGGGATTGAGCTTGCAACCTGGGCATGAGCCCTGTCAGGGAATAGAACCTGGATCTTCTGGTACATGGGTTGACGCTCATCCACTGAGCCACACAGCATTCCTCTTTTGAAGTTTCTGGACAGTTATTGCCTTTATCAACCTTGTTCTAATGATAGTATCTCTTCTTGTTTCCAGAATTACTTTAGAAAAATATATCAATAAGTCTGTATCTTTAGTTACTTCTGGGGTTTAAGGTGGGAGGGAAGGTCATGTATATCTGCAGTCCATCTTGATCCAATCTCTTGAGGCCATTATTTTTTTTCGAGGGAGCCGTTATGGTGCCCTCAGTCCTGTTCCCAGAGGCTCTGCTTCTCAGAACCCCCGGAACCGCTGCAAACCTCGGAGGGAAAGCTGCCTTCCAACTGATGCCAGACACTCCCGCTTCTCCCGTTTGGGTCCGAGTCCCCAGCGATTCGCCCGTATCTGGAGCTCAGAGTCTGAGACTCCCCCCTGACCGAAAACGACAACCGCGCTCTCAGCCACCAGCCCGCTTTGCGCGCGCACCTCCGCACCTGAGTATTTTCCACACTGCGCCTCCTCTGAGCCTCGGTGTGCTGTTATTTTTCCTTCTAGTTGAAGAGTCTCTCCTCAGCCAGCCTTCCTGTGGTTCTGGGTGATGTCCGTTCCGTCTTTTAGTTGTATTTTTGAAGTGGTTGTTTGTTCTGGGGTTTTGCGGTGTTTACCTATGCCGCCATCTTGGTCTCTCTCCTTGATCCAATCTCTTGAGGCCATTATTTTTGGACAGTTTTTTTGGTAACAGATAATAATTTTGAAACATCTGTTTCACTGAAGTCCATTGAAACCTCTTAAGGACATTAGGTTTTGAGATAAATTGAACCGTGGAGCTTATTAGTTTGAGTACTAACAGAGCTCCGAAAACTTCCAACTTTTCTTCTCTAAGCCAAGGGCAAGGATGAAGATTTTTATTCTCAATCTTTTAAAAAATATATGTTTTTTATTGATTTCAGAGAAGGGAGAGGGAGAGAGAAATAGAAACATCAATGATGAGAGAGAATCATTGATCAATTGCCTCCTGCACACCCCCACCAGGGACTGAGTCTGCAACCCGGGCATGTGCCCCGACCAGGAATTGAACCGTGACCTCCTGGTTCATAGGTCGACGCTCAACCACTGAGCCACACCAGCCGGGCCCCCCCAAAGCCTTTTTGTTTATATATTCCTGGGAAACCTCAGGATATGAAATAAGTTTCGAATCTAGTAAGTGTACATTTAATTTTCATGAAAAAGCTGTTCTGACTTTTTTTTTCTTTCCCACTTAGTTTTTCCATGGTTTGGCTTGGATATTGGTGGAACCCTAGTCAAGCTGGTTTATTTTGAACCCAAAGATATCACTGCTGAAGAAGAAGAGGAAGAAGTGGAAAGTCTTAAAAGCATTCGGAAGTACCTGACCTCCAATGTGGCTTATGGGTCCACGGGTATTCGGGATGTGCACCTGGAGCTGAAGGACCTGACTCTGTGTGGACGCAAAGGCAATCTGCACTTTATACGCTTTCCCACTCATGACATGCCTGCTTTTATTCAAATGGGCAGAGATAAAAACTTCTCAAGTCTCCACACTGTCTTTTGTGCCACTGGAGGTGGAGCGTACAAATTTGAGCAGGATTTTCTCACAGTATGCATTTTTTTAGCTTATATACAATTTATGGGAATCTGATTGTTTAAAATAATACCAGTAGCAAGGGGTGGAATCATTTCCATCCCTAATGGAATGTGAATATTCTTTTCAAATTAAGATTAAATACAAATTAGCGATAGGAGTTAGCCATCTAGAGATTTTGTTGTATAGTTTACTTTTTGCACAATTCAGATGAAATGGTGAGAACCAGAAGTACTAAAAACAGTTTTTTAAAATTCTTTTAGTATGAAAAAAATAGTGACACTGTGATAAGCAGAGTAGGCGATTAAATAGAAACAACATCATTAAATCTTTTTTCTTTTTTTTTTGAAGATCTTTTTGATTTTTAGAGAGAAAGGAAGGGAGAAGGAGAGAAACATCGACTGCCTCCTGCATACCCCCCTTCTGGGAATCGAGCCCGTAACCCGGGCATGTGCCCTAACCAGGCATTGAACTGGCAACCTTTCAGTGCATGGAATGACACCCAACCAACTGAGCCACACCAGCCAAGACAAGGTCATTAAATCTTGAACGTTGAGCCTCGCTGGTGTGGCCCAGTGGTTGAGCATCAACCTATGAACCTGGAGGTTGTAGGCTGGATCCCCAGTAGGGGGTGTGCAGGAGGCAGCTGTCTTCCTTCTTTCCTTCCTTCCTTCCTTCCTTCCTTCCTTCCTTCCTTCCTTCCTTCCTTCCTTCCTTCCTTCCTTCCTTCCTTCCTTCCTTCCTTCCTTCCTTCCTTCCTTCCTTCCTTCCTTCCTTCCTTCCTTCCTTCCTTCCTTCCTTCCTTCCTTCCTTCCCTCTCTCTCTCTCTCTTTCTCTCTCTCTCTCTCTATCCCCCTCCCCCTCCCGCCTTCTCTCCCTCTGAAATCAGTAAAAATATATTTTTTTTTTACAAAGAAAATCTTGGCCCTAACCGGTTTGGCTCAGTGGATAGAGTGTCGGCCTGCGGACTGAAGGGTCCCGGGTTCGATTCCGGTCAAGGGCATGTGCCTTGGTTTGCGGGCACATCCCCAGTGGGGGGTGTGCAGGAGGCAGCTGATCGATGTTTCTCTCTCATCGATGTTTCTAACTCTCTATCCCTTTCCCTTCCTCTCTGTAAAAAAAAATCAATAAAATATATATATTAAAAGAAAATCTTGGACACTGAGATTGGAAGAATAATTTTAAAAAAGTAATGTCATTTCATGTCATAAAATTGTTTCCAATCTTTTTTCCCTCTAGTTTTTCTTGTCCCCTTAATTGTTTCTTGGCAAGTTTACTTTAAACAAAAAACACCCAGGAATTTACAAATAAGAACAGAAAAAGAAAAAAGCCAAGCAACTCTGTTTCAAAGTGGTGGTTTTCAGGTCTCAAAACTAATTGGAGATGGTTTACAGCATAGCCTTCTCTCTCTCCTCAAATGCCTTCTGCTGTGTTCTGTGCAGCACACTTGTTAACAGGAATCTCTGGACACTAGGGGAGTGGAATTGGGCACTTGATTTTGTTTTCATTCAGTGAACACTGTGTGCAAAACCTTGGGGCTAGGTCCTTTGAAAGTGGATGTGGTTGTAGGTAAGAGAATTGATGAGTGAACTGACCAAGACTCTGATCTTTAGCTTTAAAATATCTTCAGTGACCATGTTTTTAATGCCACCGATGAGAATATTATTCTAGAGATTTTGCCTTTACTTATGTCACTATACATTTCTTTTTCCCTCTGTGTGTCACTGTATGATTTATGACCTTGTTCTCTTTGTCCTCTATCTCCTGACTTTCTCCCATAACTGATCATAATCATATAGAATTGAATTTAAAAAATGAATTTTTAAACAAGGTTTCATATTCTTTGTTTGAATTTCCCTTGGTTGTTGGTTTTCAGTGGTTTCTTTTTCACCTGTGAGCAGGGGAAAGTAGCAGGAGGAGAGAAGGTTCCCCTTCTTTGTGGAAGGATCATAACTGATGGGTAAAGGGGAAAACTTCTCTATTTCAGGACCCTGCAGAGATGCCCTTTGGAACATATTTGAAAATCATTCAGGCTGTTAACCAGAGGTTCAGTGTTGTATGGTAACTCCAAGGAAAGCGTGCAAAGTAGATTTTATTGTTGTTTGTTTGTTAATCCTCACCTGAGTATATTTTTTCCAGTATTCTTTAGAGAGAGTGGAAGGGAGGGAGGAAGGGAGAGGGAGAAAGAGAAACCTTGATGTGAGACACATCGATTGGTTGCCTCCCACATGTGTCCCAACCAAGGCTGGGGATAGAACCTGCAACCCAGGTATGTGCCCTTGATGGGGAATCGAACCTGTGACCCTTCAGTGCATGGGCTGATGCTCTAAAACCACTGAGCAATACTGGCCAGGGCAAAGTAGATATTAGATCTTAGGAATTCTTAAGCTGTTGGGGTTTCTCATTTGTATGTACCAGCACTGTCCTTGAAAAGTATGAAAATGAAATGCTTATAAAATTCTTTTGTTAGGACTGACTAATTATTAGAATTGACTAATACTAGTATTTAATAAGCCACAGTAAAATAGTTTAAAAAATTTTAGATAGTTTTTTAATTTTTCAGTTACAGTTGACATACATTATATTAGTTTCAGGTGTACACCTGAAAATGATTAGACATTGCATAACTTTTACTAAGTGATCATCCTGATAAATCTCACGCCCATCTGACACCACACACAGTTATTAGAATATTAATGACTATGTTCCCTATGCTGTATATTACATCCCATGACTACTAGTATTCTGTACCTACCAATTTGTACTTCTTAATCCTTTCACCTTTTTCATCCATGCCCCCACCACCCATCTAGCAACCATCAAAATGTTCTCTGTATCTAAGTATGAGTCTGTTTCTGTTCTGCTTGTTCATTTATTTTGTCTTTCAGATTCAGTTGTTGATTGATATGTATTTATTGCCATTCTATTGTTCATATTTTTAATCTTTTTCTTCTTATTCTTAAAGAATACCCTTTAACATTTCATGTAATACTGGTTTGGTGGTGATGAACTCCTTTGGCCTTTTCTTGTCGGGGAAGCTCTTTGTCCTTCAATTCTAAATGATAGCTTTGCTGAGTAGAGTAATCTTGGTTGTAGGTCCTTGCTTTTTATCACTTCGAATATTTCTTGCTAATCCCTTCTGGCCTGCGAAGTTTTTGTTGAGAAATCAGCTGCCAGTATTATGGGAACTCCTTTGTAGACAATGTAGGCAACTAATTGCTTTTCTCTTGCTGCTTTTTTTGAAAATATATTTTTATTGATTTCAGAGAAGAAGGGAGGGAGAGAGGGAGAGAAACATCAGTGATGAGAGAGAATCATTGATTGGCTGCCTCCTGTGTGACCCACACTGGGGATCGAGCCTGCAACCCAGGCTTGTGCCCTGACCTGGTTCATAGTCTGACACTCAACCACTGAGCCACACTGGGTGGGCTCTTGCTGCTTTTAAGATTCTCTATTTGTCTTCAATCCCCGCTGGTTTTTACAGCCTGAAGTTATGGGGACTTACCTTCCTTGTAATGAAACTTTGACCAGGGGGAATGATGTGGGATCCCTTGCGACATGGGGGTGGGGGTGGGGGTGGGAGGGAACCTCTGCCGTGGAGATAGCTGTCCCAGTTTTTATCCGTTACACATGGGTGTGGGACCAGCCAGTTCTGAGTCTCTGCCTTTCCGTCCAGTCTCTCTGTGGCTTCTTCTTTAATTCCTAGTTGTATGACTTCCATTCAGCCTGATTTCAGGTAGTTCTGAATGATGCTTGCTCTGTAGTTTAGTTGTAATTTTGATATGCTTGTGGGAGGAGGCGAGTACTGCATTTACCTACACCACTATCTTGACAGGTTGTCAAAGCTTAATCTCTGAAATAGTTTTAAAATATTGGGTTTACCCTTTAGAAAAAAAAGTGAATCAGATTTCCTCACATTGAGTTTGCATGTTGGTGCAAAACTTACATTTAGTAACTTTAGTTAATGAAATGACTTATTCATTGTTATCTATCAGTTAGGCTGGGATTCATTGGGAATAATAGCACAGTGGGGTAGGTACTTCAGGATTTTAATAGGTCACCAGTGTAAAATGACAGTGTAAGCCCAGCTGGTGTGGCTTAGTTGGTTGAATGTCCTCCCATGCACCAGGAGGTCACTGGTTTGATTCTCGGGCAGGGCACATGCCTGGGATTCGGGCTCGATCCCCAGTATGGATTGTGTATGAGGCAGCGGATGGATGTTTCTCCCTCTCTCCCTCTCTCCCTCTCTCCCTCTCTCCCTCTCTCCCTCTTCCCCTATCCCCTTCTCCCCCTCTCCCTTCATCTGTCTGAAATCAATAAAAACATTAAAAAATATTGACTTACCTAAGAAATGAAGATGCTAGCGCTTGAGATTCAATTGTTAGGAAGTCGATATTTAAATTTGTCTTGGCAGGGAGGGCTTGAGCAGATGAAATAAGGATAGTGATGAACAATTCAAGGGCCTGGGTTTGGTTAGAGGAGTACCTTAATATATATATTTTTTCCTTTTAATCTTCACCTGGGTATATGCTTATTGGTTATATTTAATTTATTTTTAAAAATGTGTCTTTATTGAGTTTATTTTATATATATATACACACACACATATATATATGTATAATATATGTGTAATGACTGAATGGCCAAATGACTGGTTGACAGGAGCTGTTCCTGGTGGTCAGTGGGCTCCCACAGCGGGAGCACTGCTCAGCTGTCTGACCTGTCCCAGCAGTCCACCAGCCTGGTGGCAGCCACTCACTCCCTCAGTAGTCATGCAGGTCCAATCTCTGGAGAACGGGCCAGGCACTGATGGACCTGCACTGTTGGCACGATCCTGACAGTCCCGCTGGCCTCCTGGAAGTCGGCCTCGGGCACCACGGCCACTTCCCCTCCCTAGAAGCTTGGCAAGGAAAAAAGATAAACATTGAGCCCTAGCTGGTTTGGTTCAGTGGATAGAACCTTGGCCTGTGGACTGAAGGCTCCTGGCCCTGGTTGGGGGCATGCGGAAGGCAACCAATCAATGTGTCTCTCACGTCGGTATTTCTCTCTCCCTCTCCCTTTCCACTCTTTCTAAAAAATTAATGGAAAAAATATCCTTGAGTGAGGATTAAAAAAAAAGAAAAAGAAAAGAAATAACATTGATCGGTTGCCTCCTGTATATACTCCAACCGGGAACCAAACTGCAACCTGGGCCTGTGCCCTGACTGGGAATCCAACCAGTGATCTGGTGCATGGGACGACACTCAACCAACTGAGCTACACTGGCTAGGGCTGCTATTGATTAGAGAGAGAGAGGAAGGGAGGGAGAGAGAAAAAACATTGATGTGAGAGAGAAACATCCATTGGTTGCCTCCCATAAGTGCCCAACCAAGTAATCAAACCCACAAACTAGGTATCATGCCCTGACCAGGAATTGAACCCATAACCTTTTTTTTTTTTAACATATATATTTTAATTGATTTTAGAGAGGAAGGGAGGGAGGGAGGGGGAGAGAGAGAGAGAGAGAAAGAGAGAGAGAGAGAGAAAGAAAGAAACAAACAAACATCAGTGATGAAAGAATCATTGATTGGCTGCCTCCTGCAAGCCCCACACAGGATTAAGCCCACAATCCGGGCATGTGCCCTGACTGGGAATCGAACTGTGACCTCCTGGTTCATAGATCGACGAACTCTCAACCACTGAGCCATGCCTGCTGTGCTTAATCATTTATTTATTAATTATTTAAGTGAAATGAAGTTGTTAATAAAGTTTTAAATTCTGATTCTGCTAAAATTTCCATATCCTCCAGAGTCTAACTCATTTAGTGAAAAATCTTAACCTTCTAATTGGCCACTTGCAGCCTTTTGGCTTTAGGTTATTGATAATAAAGTGTGGCCTACTTTGTTACTGCTCCATAGCTTTGAAGATGGTCTTTTGGAAGGCAGATGTCAGTCTTTGTGTCTCCCGCCAAGTGTCACCAGGTGCTTGCATCACTTAGATGTTGGGGGCCTGCTTTCCGATAGGGCTGTGACCTTGGCTATGCTGCTTCATGCCTGTGAGCAGACATCTTGTTTTCTGCTTGGGTGTGGGCACCTTGCTCCAGCTGCCGCAGTGGTTTGTAGGGAGAGTGTATTTGGGTCTGTGGGAGCAGGAGTCTGTCTTATCAGTCCATTCCTATTTGTTGTCTCCAGATACGTTCTGTAAAGCATGCACAGATATTACACATCCTTGAGTGCCTTTATGATTTGTTTAATATAGATGGGATGCCTTATTAAATGGAGTTTTTATTTCTGTTTGGCTTGTTTAAAAGTCTGAAAACATTTTATTTTATTACAGATAGGTGAGCTTCAGCTTTGCAAACTTGATGAACTAGATTGCTTAATAAAAGGAATTTTATACATTGATTCAGTTGGATTCAATGGACGGTCACAGTGCTATTACTTTGAAAACCCTGCTGATTCTGAAAAATGTCAGAAGTTACCGTTTGATTTGAAAAATCCATACCCTCTGCTTCTGGTGAACATTGGCTCTGGGGTTAGCATCTTAGCAGTATATTCCAAAGATAATTACAAGCGCGTCACTGGTACCAGGTAGGTCTTTTATATTCTTGATATCATATGGCTTAACACTGAGTTTTTAGGTATTGCATGTAAGTATACCTTTAAGAATCTGTTTAAAATTATGTAAAAAATAAAACTTTTTCTGGGATTATGCAAACAAATGTTATTTCTGTTTGAAATTTCTGATTTCATGACCTACTTTTCTTTAATCTGTATTGCTCCACGTTTCTTAAAATGTCTCATCAGCAGACTCATTAAGCCCGTAGTCCCTGCCCTCAGATAGTGTATGGTGTGCATATACCATAAAGTAAGAAAAGCTCAGTGGAGTGTATAAGGAGAAGGCAAGGCAAGATCCTAGATTTTGTACAAGCGTATAAACACACACATGTGCCCGGGTGCGCGGCCCGAGGATGATGTGAAATTTAGAAGTTGAGATATTGAGCAATAGAAAAATGATTGGGGGAGGGTGGTCTGAAAGGGAGAATTAGGTGGCAGATGAGAAAGGAATGCACTTTAAGGATCAGAGATCACTTGAAGAAAAACTAGGAGGTGGGAATGGGGTAAACAAGTTTTTTAACTGGTGTGAGTTAAGGAATGAAAAATAATTTTTGGGGGGAAAACACATTCATGGAAGAGTTCTTGTTGGGTAGGGGCTGATGAGCCAGGGTGACAAGATGCTTGAATGAGAAGAAAAAAAAAAGATGCTTGAATGAGGATGGCTTAGGGCATGCACTTGGAGAGAGAAAGGGAGGAGGCACCAACGTGGTCCTAGGTGTGATGGGCTGATACTACATACTTGAGGTTTCTCGAACTCAGCAGATGCCCAGACTGAACTGGAGACATGGGCGGAGAGGTGGGCCCTGTATTTTGCCATGTTGCTTGTTGGTGCACATGAATGCATACCTTCAAGGTGTCTATTAGGGACCAGTTTTTATCTTTTCACAGACTTATTTCTCACTGGTGGCTTCTGCACGATTGGGTTGAGGCAAGAGTAGATTGACATGTGAATATGGTTTTATAGTTCATAAATATTACCTTCCTGTTGTAAAAAATGTTATAATCATATTATTTGTTTTCAATCACAGTCTTGGAGGAGGAACTTTTTTTGGTCTCTGCTGTCTGCTTACTGGCTGTACCACTTTTGAAGAAGCTCTTGAAATGGCATCTCGTGGAGATAGCACCAAAGTGGATAAACTAGTCCGGGACATTTATGGAGGGGACTATGAGAGGTTTGGACTGCCAGGCTGGGCTGTGGCTTCAAGGTAAGGGGACATGTGTTCTCTAAGAGATGCAGAAATAAAATACTAAATATTGGGTTGCCCTTGCCAGTGTGGCTCAGTTGGTTGGAGCGTCATCTGTACACCAAAAGGTGGCAGGTTTGATCCTTGCTAGGGCACATACCCAGACTGCGGGTCCATCCCTGGTCAGGGCACACGCGGGAGTCAACCCATTGATGTTTCTCTCTCACATTGATGTTTCTCTTTCTCTCTCTCTCAAATAAAATTTAAAAAAAATGGGTATATCTTTTTCCTTTTAAGCAGTTTTACATATTATAAAGTCAACTGTTAAATGTGTCCAATTTATTGGTTTCTGGTATATTTACAGAATTGTGCAGTAATCACCACAATCCAATTTCAGAACATTTTTATCGTCCCAGAAAAAAAAACCTGTATTCATTAGCTGTCACTCCACATTTCCCTACCCTACAGTCCCTCGTAAACACTAATCTATTTTCTGTCTCTATAGATTTGCCTATTCTGGACACTTCATATAAATGATATCATAGAATATGTGATTTTTGTGACTGACTTATTTAGCTTAATGTTTTCAAGATTCATCCATGTTGTAGCATGAATCAGTATTTTGTTTTTATTGATGGATAATATTTCATTGTATGGATATATAACATTTTATTTATCCATATATCAGTTGATAAACATTTGGGTTATTTAAACTTTTTGGTTATGAATAATGCTGCTAGGAACATTCATGTACAAGTCTGTGTGGACATATTGTTTTGAATTCTCTTGGGAATATACCTAGGACTGGAATTGCTGGATCATGTGGTAACTCTTATGTTTAATCTTTTGAGGAACTGCCAGACAGTTTTCCACAGTGGCTGCACCATTTTACAACCCCACCTGTAATATATAAGGATTTAAATTTATCCACATCCTTGCTGACACTTCTTATTGTCTTTTTGGTTTAAACTGCCTTAAAGGTGTCATGTGATCTCTCCTGGTTTTGATTTGTATTTCCCTAAGGATGACTAAGGATGTTGAACATCTATCTATGTACTTATTGACTATTTGTCTACTTTTGGAGAAATGTCTGTTCAAGTCTTTAGCTCATTTTGTAGTTGAATTATTTGTCTTTTATTATTGAGTTGTAAGAATTCTTAATATGTTCTAGAAACAAGTACTTTATCAAATACAATTTTGTATTTGCAAATTTGTCATTTGCAAATATATTTTCCCATTCTGTTAGTTGTCTTCACTTCCTTGGTGGTGTCCTTTACAGCATAGATGTTTTAAATTTAAATAGATAAAAAGAAGTACATCTATGTTCTCTTTCCTTGCTTTTATTTTTTATTTATTTTTTAATTTTTTAATATATTTTTAATTGATTTCAGAGAGGAAGGGAGAGGGAGATAGAGATAGAA